GGCGAGTTGGTAGAACTATGGCATAAGTTATTAATGATCCACCCCAGAGAGGAAGTTTTGACTTAGTCTGAGGCAAAACAGGGGATTCAAATGAAACATTTGTTTAACAAAGACGATAGTTGACATTTTAGGATTTATTTCTTCTGTCATACTCAATTATCCCCTTAGGGAGTACATGCTCGAGGGTAAATTTCAGCGTTTCGCCTGTTAGTGCTCGTTAATACACAGTATGCATAGAAAACGTACGTTTGTTACATCTTTAGAAAGAGAAAGCCAGGACATAGATAGTGTATATTGAGTTTGTCAAAATTGCTTGACGTACCATAGAGTTTATAAAGTTGAGAGGCTTGTGATTTATATGCGAGCGAATAATTTTGTTTTCTTGCGCTTTTCGTAATACGCATATTGGTCGAAAGCTGAAGTCACGCGACATAAAAACAAACGCTTCTCATGAATTGACCAAACAAAAAACTTCACGACACGTTCCGATAATAACCTTTTTTAAAAGAACCAAACATGCTCAAACGAGAGGACCATTATTACGCGACGAACACGAATTACTCCATATATCAGAAAAGTTGTTTATGGATTTCGGCAACAATCGATCGATCGATCGATCACGATAGCTGATCACAACAGACCAAAGGAAGATGATAGGTCAGATTATTAATTTAAATTACTCTCCTGGTGTTAAACCAAAGCAAAAATTCAGAAGTAACACTGCTCTACAATTCCAGTCTCAATAGAGGTGCTCAATGCCAAATAGCAACTTTCTTAATATAATCGTTCACCAGGTAACTTCCGTAATTTGAAGTTTACCAGTTTTGCTAAACCTGGCTACAGGTTGGAGAATCACACGGTTCGAACTACTGAAGTATTCGACGAGGATCTCTGCAGGTTACAATGCTATCTGGAACCTAACTGTGTCAGTTATAACTTCTATAAGCTAAGACAGGCGTCTGGAACACACAAGTGTGATCTGAATAACGCCACCATTGACCACGATGGAGAACTGGTAAAAAACGAAAGTTGCATTTACCGCGGAGCTGAGGTGAGGATGACGTTTTTAAGCCAAGAGTATGAGAC